TCAAAAAGCTCTATCTAGTGATACTAGTTTTACCTGCGCGGTAGCCCTTGCGTAGCCGCGCAGGGTGCCCTAAATCCAGGGTGCGAGCAGCGACCGCAGCGCTGAAAATCCCTCACGCTCGCACGTGCTCCGCACGTGCCACCACACAGACCACCCACCAGCTACCACGCCGATCGACTACTCCCATCCGACCTACCCTACACCCCAAGCGGCCTACCCTGCACCTCTACCTTGCACCTCGAGCAGCCTACCCTGCACCCCGAGAAGCATACCCTATACCTCTCGGTGGCCTACCCTATACTAATGGCACTGGCAAACAAGGGCTCCAGTGCCCCAAAGGGTACCCCAAAGCCCACGATCAACAATATCATTAAACGACTAGTTGAACTAGCTCGCCTGGAAAAAATAGAAGAGGCTAAGGGCCTTGCCGAAGACCTGCAACAGGCCCTATAGGGCCTACATAAGCTAGACGACCTCCCACTAGCCAACCTTCGAAAGGTTATTGCAGAGGAGGTTAGAGCAGCTATTACAGCCTCTAAGGCCCTAGAACCAAAGACCTAGGCTACAGTAGCCTCTCAAGGCCTCCTATAGCCCTTTGCCACCCAACTAAAGAAGGTAGTACCGGCTAGGATCTAGAAGGAGATCCTAGTATAGGCTATAGGCTATACAGCCAACTAGACTAAGAGGACCTCACAAGAGGTAGTCCAAGCAGTCAACCAAGCCTCGGCTAAGAAGGGGGCTATCGCAGCCCGTATCCTTCCCAGTGGTGATACCATTGTCACGTTCGAAACAGTGGCTCTAAAGGAGTGGCATTCGACCAATAGTGAGTAGATTCAACAGGCCTTCAGCCAACAGGCTAAGGAAGCCCACCGGTCCTTTGCTATACTGCTAAAGGGCCTTTCAAAGAAGGACCTATAGGAGCTGACCGAGGGAGAGTTCCAGCAGGAACTAGGCCTACGGTCAGTAGACAGGGTCAAATTCAGGCTTCCTAAGGCCCTGGAAAGAAGGAAGGCTACTGTTCTAGTGGCCCTGCGAGACCAAAAAGAGGCCAGAAGGGCCTGTGACAACGGGGTGGTGTAGAGGGCCTAGATCTAGGACTGCGAATCGTACTAGGCCGCTCTAGACCCCACCTAGTGCTTCAAGTGCTGGAAATAGGGGCATATACAGAGGTACTACCCACAGAAGGAAGCCCGGTGCCCACGGTGTAGAACTAAGGCCTACAGGGAGGGTGGTAAGGCTGGGGAGGCCCTATGCCCTACCCATAGCGGCTACCCTACTAGGTGTGCCACCTGTAGAGGCCCCTACACTGCGTGGTCGAGGGCCTGCCCATAGGGGGCTAGAGCCTAGGAAGGGGCTAAAGAGGCCTACCTACATCGACCGAAGACCTTCGAGGCCCTGTGTGACAAACCCGGTCAGACCTGACTCTAAAAGGGTTCAGCAGAGGTATCAAGACTGGTTCGGTCCAATAGGTTCGGTGAAGCTAAAAGGTTCACAACAAGATGTTCCTTACAATGAGTGTAGAATGCAAAGGTTACTATAAACACTGTAATATATTACTTACTAGAGGACTCCTAGAGCCCTCTAGTATAAGTGACTATATACTATATAATTCTATGGACGCCGATAGTCGCTAGCGACCCCGGGCGTCTATAGTCGACGATGGACGCCAGCGTCTATAGGCGACCATCCTACAGCCTTGCGATAGCGCTGTATAATCATTGGTCCTGACTGCGCTATGCAGGCCCTACCTAGCTGCAATATATAGTTGGTTCGTGATACGATGCCCCTCTCAATGTCTTTCGTCCCGAAAGATCGAGGTCGTCGTTTCAAATAGCGCCAACTGCCCTAGCTTCCCTGTTTCTTCTGTGAGCGCTTCCCCTCTATCCGCCACTGCTTCTCGTTATAGCTGATACGCCTGGTAGGCCTCGCCGAAACCGTGCGATCGAGCGTCGTGCTGCTGCTTCTGCTATTGAACGCGACGGTCAGGAGGTCGATATACCCTGCGAACGTTGTTGGAACGTAAAGCCCTGGAGACATTGTATAATAGTACCTAGCTCGAACAAATGCTCGGGTTGCGTTCGTCTAGGCAAGAAGTATAGTAGTCCGAATATTATAAACGCTTGTAAGTCCTATTTGTCTTCCTATAGATTTAGGCTAATCCCTAGTAGTAATGGCGAATATATCGGCCTACGATAAAGTAGATAAGGAAATTATAAATACTGAACAATAGCTATCCGAGGTATTGAGCTGTCTCTCGTACCTTCGTCGTTAGCGCAAGGTACTAGGTAATACTAGCTCCGAGCTATTGAGCTATAGTTTAGATAGTCTAGAGGAGGACGAGTCCGATTCTCCTATACCAATATCGGAGGACTAGTCCTTAGTTGGTTAGATATAGTCCCTAGGTGCTTTTAGCGTTATAGACTAGGAGGCTATTGGCGTAGCTCCCTATAATAGCCTTGACTAGCTGACTACCCCTGAGGCCGCTTAAAGGTATTCTTCCCTAGCTCTTTTCTTCAATAAATAAAATAGTTATATAGCGTAGTGGTTAGTATATATACTTTCTATCTACTCGATCTCTAGGCCTTTGTCGCCTAAGGTTAAGCAAGACTAGTGTAAGGTTGTAGGTTCGAATCCTATTATAGCCTTAATCAATAAATATCTAAGCCTTCCCTAGTAGGGGTATTCGTTGATCGTCTCTTTTTCTCTTTTTATAGTTCTATACTGACTTATTGTACTAGTACTTCCTAGGGTAGCCCTTCTAGTATATCTAGCTCGCCTTTAGCACTTCCTTTAGTCGATCTAGGTTCTAGCGGTAGAAGTTTATAACCTTCTCAGGGCAGTAGAGGTTCTTAGCTAGTTCCTATAAGTTTTCTATAGCGTCGAAATCCAACTATTTAACTAGATACTCTAGTCGTTTCTTATTGATTTGTAAATCGAGGATTCCCTTAATATCCTATTCCTCTTCCTTGTCCTAGGCTTCGACCTTAGTCACAAGCTTAGTGTTCTTAGGTACTAGTTCGAGGAGTACGATATAGAAGATATTAGTCCTGACTTTTATTGTTATTAGTAGTGCGATCCGGTAGTTGTTCTCCGAGATCCGCTTTTCGATCTTGAATAGTCCGATCTTCCTGAAGTCGAGCTTCCTATTTGGTCGGTTTATTCGAAGATTCTATATATTAAGGTAGACCTTGTCTCCCCTCGCTAGACGAGGACTCTCGAGCCTATACTTATTGTAGTACTCTTTTATCCTACCTTTAACGAATTCAAGTTCGTCCCTAAGTATTGTATAGAGTATATATATCTGATTAGCTTTGACTACCGCTCTAGGGACCGAGATATCTAGTCCCTAGCGCAAGTCTACCTAGTATCCAAAGTTTGTAAAGAATAGTATAACTTTCATAGTCTCTATAGGTAATGTATTATATATAAGCTGTGCTATAGGTAGAAGTATAACCTAGTTGTCTTGCTAAAAGTTAATATAAAGCTAGAGGTATTGTTCTACAATCTAGTTGAGTTGTTCTATCTGTCTATCTGTCTATAGATAATAAGCTGTCGAGAGCTTGCTTTTTATTCCTAGGCGCTTTATAAATGCCTGTTAGAACTTTGATATAAACTTGGTATCTCTGTCTGTAATCTATTCTTCAGGCTATATATAGACCGAAGTAATATATCGATAAATCACGTCCGTAAGTTGTTCTACTAACTATAACTCCTTGTATAGGAAGAAGTAGCTCTACTTAGTAAGTCGATCGACTATAGTAAGGATACTATTGTAAGTTGTTCCTGTTATTATATCTCTCGATACTAGTAGCTTAGTAATGAAGTCCATTGTCACTAAGCTCTATAGTTGTACTATAACCGGTAGTAGTTAAAGTAGTCTATAGGGCTTATACCTATCTAGCTTGCTCCAACGGTATAAGTCGTATACTATAAGCACCTCCTTAACCTTCTTCCTAAGTCCTAGGAAATCATAGTATTACTTGATCTTTACGACTATCTTAGCGATTCCTATATATCCCCCGAGTCTTGACTCGTGAACTTCTCTAACGAGTGCTCCCTGTTTATAGAGAGCGATATATACCTTATTGTTATACTAGAGTAAGGAGTCCTTCCTATAGACCCCTTTTCCCTATATCTCGTCGTCTTGTTCCTATATAATACTATCCTTTATATATCCTATATTACACTAGTAATTCCTACTGAGGTGTGTTTCCCGAAATATAGCGCTGTATTCTATAGGCTGTACTAGGTGATATAGCGATCTATCCGCCTGTTCCTCGAATATCGATGGTACTGTCTCCTAGAACCTACCTATATAGTCGGATCTCCTGCTTAGGGCATCTACCTAGGCGTTCTCCATTCCCTTGATCCTCTTGATTGTAAAGTGGAACTATATTAGAAACTCTCGCCATTGAGACTGTTATAGGCTAAGGTCCTATTTTGCTACAAAGTACTAGAGGTTCTAGTGATCTATATATACCTGGACTGGTTATTCCGTACTACTAAGGTACGACTTCTATTTATAGAAAGCTATAATAATAGCTATTAGTTCTTTGTTATAAACTATATACTTCCTCTATATATCGTCGAATTTCTTCGAGAAGAAGGCGATAGGTTGCTTCTTACTATTGTCGTCCTTCTATATAAGTTGTCCTCCTATCGCGAAGTCCAAGGTATCGGTCTCGACTTTATAGGGCTTCGTTGAATCCGGTAATAGGAGCACTATATCTGATATAACCAGTTCTTATAGCTATTGAAAGGCCTACTCCTATTGCTTTCCCTACTAGAACTTAACGTCCTTCTTCGTAAGGTTGTACAATAGTCGTACGATATTACTAAATCCCTTGATAAATATATAGTAGAAATTGATAAAGCCGATAAAGGCTCTAACTTCTATTGTCGTTATAGATATAGGCTAGTTCCTAACTACCTCGACCTTAGTTAGTTCTATCCTAACTTCTCCTAGTATAATTTCGTAGCCGAGGAAAACCATCCTCTAGATATAGAACTCGCTCTTTTCCTTGTTGACTAAGAGCTTTTATATATATAGTATATCTAGCACTTGCTTTATATACTCCTTATATTCTTTAAGCGTCTTCGAGTAGATAAGAATATTATTAAGATAATATACTATAAACCTATCTAGAAATAGATATATCGTATAGTTAACTATAGCTTAGAAGGTAGCTAGTATATTTGTCAGCCTGAATAGCATTATCAGGTATTTATAGAGTCTTGTCCTAGAGTTCATTAGTATAATATACCTTGAAGAACTTCAACTAGGTGCCTTCCTTGAGCTTGATTTCGTAATCCTAAAGTCTATAGTCTAGCAACCCTTCTATATATTTTACTTTGAACGCTAGATGTCCCTAGTATTCCGCTAGGATCTGCCCTATTTCGTTGTTCTTTACTATGCCTTTGTAGTATATAAATTTACCGCTGGCCGTGACTTTAGCTATATCGGCCTACTATACCTACTCTTAGAACTAAGTATTGCTATAGTTATCGATTAAGATGATAGTAACCTCCTTGGTAGCCCGTCTCGGTATACCCCCTAGAGTCTACCGCTAGCCTTGATCTAGGTCTGTTTCGTTCGACCCTTCGTGACTACTGCTTCTTCCTAAGTGTATAGCAGGTCGTCCGCTACTACCCGCCTCTTACAGTAGATCCTAGAAGTATATATATTTCGTCGTACTACCTTTTCGTGATCCGTCGTCTATACCTCCTATTATATTAGTCAGATATAGTCCTAGTTCTAGTTAGGGCTATAGGTAGCTACCTCCCTTCTAACTAATATCTAGGTTATAATCTTCATACTAGGGGAATCCTAAGATTATATCTTTACTAGTCCCTATATCTACGATATCGAAAATAACTTTCGTAGTCTTCCCTTCGATAGTAATATCGAATAGCTCGGTTTTACACCGAGCCTACTATATTTCAAATAGTCCCTTGACTATATATACAATATCCTTTATCCTCTATAAAACTTAGAGTTAGTTGACAAATCTTAGTAAGATGAAGTTGAGTTCTAACCCTCTATCTACTAAAGCTAATACCTAGTATTGCTTCTAGTATACTAGGATCTAGAGTCTTCTATCGGTCCTAGTACCTAATATAGCAGCGATTTCTGCTTCGCTTACCTAGAGATCGTTATAACCCTTCTATTTCACCTAGTTCTTCCTATACTAGCGGGCTTGTCGTCGTTATAAAGATATTAGAGGTTGTCGGGCCCCTCGAAGGGCCTAGAGCTGTTTCCCAAGTATAGTTAGGTGCTATAAACTATATTGTTCAGTCGTTAGTAGTCTACCTGCTCCTGTGGGAAGTCGTGAAAGGCGTCCCCTTCCGTTCCCTAGCTTACTTCTACAATAGTACCGAACTCTTACAACCATTGTTTACTGCTCTATACCAACTGGTCCTCGTCTTTGCCCTCCTAGGTTAGGTCCGAGTTATATCTCTCTTCCCGGGATATCAAGTCCTACAAGTAGCGTGCTCTTGTTTCTATCTTTCTATACTAGTATTCCTTGCTTTTAGCTTATAAATGCTAGATATAATCTACGCTACTATAGTAGCTAATGTTATCGTCCTGTAAATATATATATAGGGATGGCTATACCTACTATAGTTGTATGCAAACCTTCCTGTTTTCTAGATACTCGAAGTACTAGAGTAGGTCGGATACCCCCTATCCTTAGTCGAACGTCCATCGGATCGGCTTAGGGCGCCTATCGGGTATAGTCTTATAGATAGGCCAGTAGTTATAGTTGTACTTCTTAAAGTAATACTTATAGGCGTATATAATACACTAGAACTATAGCACCTATATATAGTCTGCCTTCTCTAGGTATAGTCACTATAATTCCAACTCGTTGGCCTATTGGAACTTGCTCTTGTAGTCAAGTCCCTTTATAGTATTGTTGTTCTTCCCGAGACTGATATAGGCTCTTGTTTTCCAGAACTCTTCCTAACTCTAGGGTTCGGTGTTCTTAAAGTATTGTTTCCTAGCCTAGTCGTAGTATTCCTACTTAGGGTTCTAGATCTCTATAGGATAGTAGTCCTTAGTGTTCTAGTTATAAAGTCTATTCTACCCGATATATCCTCGATCGAAGGAGTCGTTGACCTAAAAGATTTCCTTATAGAGTATATCCCACCTATTGGATTGCCTTATTAAGTCTTCCCTCGACTGTCTATCCTTTAGTGACTATCTTGAAAATCTCGGTCTGAAGTTAGTCGTTCTACTCCTTGAGCTCTTGGACTTGCTACTAGAGTCGGGCTATATTAGGCAGGTCCCTTTCGTTAGCGGTCCTCTATTGTCTATTATCGTCTTGGACTAGGCGTAGTCCCTATATAGTAGCGATCTATTTAGTGTACTACTAGGCTATCGGTACTATTAACTCCTGTTAATCTCCTTCGCCTATATCCATACTATCGCTATCGCTTTCGACTATTTGCTCGGTCCTATGGCGTATATACTCGTTGTTCACCTAGAGGTTCTAGTCGAGTACTGCCTCGGCGATACTAAGTTAAGCGACTTCCGAGACCTTATGTCATATAAACTCCTCGAGCTTATATACTACCTACAAGCTTGTATCAGAGATACTCTTTATATCGGAAGACGTACTTTCGCTATTGGATAGACTATCCT